GTATGAGTTTCTGCTGAGCACAAGTGTTTTGGTGCTCACGCCCCACGCTTTTCATGGTTTTCAGGTCGCAGGGTCGGAGACGAGGAGTGAGCGGACGGGCTGTTCAGGACATTTGTGATTATTGTATATATATGTTTTTGCCACGCTTGGTTTCCGCTAAAACTTTCAGTACTTATATTCAGTTTTTGTTCCGACATTAGTCGGATAAGACAGTATAACCGTTTATATTTATCAGTTTAAAATTTTAGCAGTTTTCAGAAAATCAAGTTTTTCACGGTAGCATCCCGAATTAGTTTTCGCAAAATAAATATTTTATTTATTTATTCAGAAAATTGCGAAAAATCACGTACTCTGATATATTAAAAGTCGGGATGTTACAATTGGTATCAGAGCACGTTTCTGCGTCTCTGAAAAGTTGTTCAGTCAGAAAATTTTCAGAAAAACCTGAACTGTCACGCTCACGCCTCGCCGAATCCAGGTAAGTGCTGATTCAGTTTTTCAGTTATAAACATATTACTTTGTCTATGCTCAGAAATCAGTAATCAGACTTAGTTAAGATGCTCGATTCAGATTCAGACTTAGAGTTCGGATATAACTCTAGAATTCAGTATATTCAGGCATGAATTTAGAGGTCAGTATACTCAGACATGACTCTAGACTTTAGTATCTTTCGATATGAATCTAGAGTTCCTCAGGTTTCACGTCAGTATTTATCGGCCATTTTTGGCAACTCGTCAAGTGATTTGTGTGCCTCAGTAATCAGTCAGAATAATTCCACGTGTTCAATAATTTTGAACTTTCTCAATGTTCAGATGCCGCCACGTAGGGAACCCGATCATCCGGCACATACTCAGGCTACAGTGGTCGCTCAGTTCCGCGACTATCATGCCGAAAAGTTCTCAGGGCAGGGAGATCCTCGCATTGTAGACGAGTGGATTCAGGGCCTGGAGTTTATCTTCGAGGTCATGGAGTGCCCTAAGAGATATCGCGTTGTTTGCGCTCATCTTCAGCTCACCGGTGATGCCAGGCTCTGGTGGAACGCTTACTGGAGCATGCGTCCCGGCGAGAAGGCGGGATGTACGTGAGAGATGCTCAAGGAGTTAATCCGCGAGAAGTACTATCCCACATACTACCGAGCAGAGATGGAG